CAGAGATCTTGGAGGTACATAGAGGAAAAGCGAAAGTATTGTCTCAACATTGAATTCGAATGTCCTTCAGAAAACTTTGGATAAGATCAGATTTGACCAAAACCATAGTGCGAACCTGGGACCGTGTTCGAAACGGCCCAGTCGTTTTAGTAACTGTATTTAAACGGCACCATGTTATTATAATAAGTAACTCGTGGTGATTAACATTTTGTCAATAGAATATAGTGCATCTAACAAATATTCACATAGTTTAATACTGCGGGATTCTCAAAAGAAAAACATTTCAATTTTAAGAAATGTTAATATTTTCTAATCACGATTTCTATAATTACTGTAAATTAAATTTTTTAATTAAACATTGTTAGTCACTGATAATTTTTAATTTGTAAATACACAAATAATATGTCATAATATATGTGTCATAATATACTCTTTAGACAAATAGAAAATTAAATTACACATAATTGTTTGTGTAAAATAGTTCGACAATTTCCACTTTATAATATTGAACAGATTTTATACTACTGTGCAATTTTACATAATGTATGTATTTCTAAATATAAATGTTATCCAATTATTTGTGAAAATTGTCTATTACATTTGAATAATGAAGTAAAGCATTTTACAGTTATACATTGGGAGACGACAAGTTAAATACTGTAAATCAGAACTGTTTTTTTTTTTTTATCTAAAGGCAGCGCTTTGTCGTGATAGCCATGTCTCCCTGTTGGTTGCTAGGTTCTTCAGCTGTGAGTATGAACTTGTGTTCATCAGCAGCATCAGATCTTTGAAGTAGGAAGTTCTAGGGCGTCCTCTTTTTTTTCACCCCATGATCTTTCCTTCGAAAATGTTGTTGATGAAGGTATTATGTCTTATGAGGTGTCCAATGAGTTTCGTTTTCCTCTTCAAAATGTGAGACATGATGTTCCTTTTCTCTCTTACTTCTTGTAACACTATTTCATTGGTTTTTCTTTCCACCAAAGATATCTTGTTCATCTTCCTCCAAATCACATTTCGGTAGCTTCTAGCCATTTTTTTTTCATACTGACCTATGGTCCAAGTTTCACAGCCATAAAATAACACACTCCAAATGTATGATTTGATGAATTTCTTCCTTGTATTTAAATCAAAGTGTTTGTTAGTTAGGAGGTTGTATTTGCTGTTGAATGTTTTTTTTGGCCATTGCTATTCTTCTCTTAACATCGTTGGTAGATTTGTTGTCGTAAGTAATGGAGCTTCCTAGGTAATAGAACTCTTCTACATCTTCAATGACCGCATCCCTTAGTTTGATTGTAGGTTTTACTATGTGTTGTTCTCGTCTAACTGTCATTGTTTTCGTTTTTTTTGGCGTTGATTTTCAGGTGGTATTCGTTCAGGATATTAGAAAGGGTGTTGAGCATCTCGTTCATTTCTTTAGCGCTCTTTGCAACCAGTGCAATGTCATCGGCGAATCTTAAACAGTGCACTTCTTGACCATTTATTATTACACTTTTGGTCATCAGAACTGTATGGAAACTTAAATCAGAATTTTTCAAATATGTATTTATTCTGAATTTTAGTGTAGCTATAAAAAAAAGTCCATTGATGTTTAAAAAGAAAAATTAATGGTCCTTTTGATAGCACATTTATACTTTTTTTTTCAATATTTTTAGCCATGTAAGAAAAGTATATTATCAATTGTGTGTGTTTTCCGATTCATCATTTTTAGGCAATACATGTAAATGCTATGCAGTAATATAAATTGAAAGTAAATACGTATATATTACCAAAGGTTAATTTACAAAATTTTTAAGCTTCAAGAACATTTTAATTTCTTAAATACTATGTAAAAATAAGAGCCTTTAACTGTATAAAATTCTACAGTACTGAAAAACACTACGCTTAAAGTTAAGCAATCACAATTATTTATCATTTATTTAAAATTTTAAGATATGATAATTCTAAACCAGCTCCTAAATTATACATCCGAAATATTTATCTATTTAAAACCAATGCATGGCGAACTTTTTTTTTTCATAGTACTAATGTTTTTGAAAGTAATTACATCATAAAAATTATTGTACAAACAGAAATTAGACACTAATTGGTAATAAGTACAATTTGTGACTTTAGTACAATATTATGGCGTAATATCTTTACTAAACGTTAAAAAAAAAAGAAAAAAATCTTTAAAAAAATTAAAAATAAATTATAGGCACAATTTTTTAATTTTAACAGTATTTATATGGAAATTTTAATTAAATAGCAATTTATATGATGAACGATTCATATTAATATAAAATAATATTAAATTTTAAGACTGTAATATTTATATTAATAATACATTGTATTTCTTTTTAAAAAACAGTGAAAATTTTATTTTTGCATTAACGTTTTTATTTTATTTTGTGAATTAAAATTGTTCAGATTTCCATAAATGTTATGTTGTTGTATCGAAAACAGTAGATTTATTCCAGTAATTTATTCTGCTAAACAATCGTCTTAGATTTATGTGATGGCATAACTCATTGCAACACGTATATTGTCAATTATATTTTCATGATTAAAAATGTTTATAATTTTATTCTCGGGAGTTGAAATTTTATATTACTATACAACTTATGGCAGCCATAATTTAAAATTCATAGTTCATGTTTCATCAATCAAGTATGCAATTATTGTCGGTATCATTTTTTGATGGAATAAATTTCTAGTCTAGTATTTTTAGATTTGTAATTTTAATTTTGAATAAAAGAGTTATCATAAATATTTCATTATAATACGAAAAAACTTGAGTTATCATTATTTTAATATAAAATATTTTCTATATATGTTAGTCCGACCTTCACTATCGGAAACATTTTTCGAATTTGATGATTCATCAATTCATCATTCCTTTCAAATTTATTGCAGGTAATTATGACTGTACAACAAGCCCCGTCCAACGACGACCTACACAATGTTTGAATTTCTCCTTTCCCCAATCGACATCTATTGTCTCACTGAACTATAAAAGTACTCTGCGTATTCATTTAATCGTAAAGTTTTTTTATATTTTATTGTATTAATAAATTATTTCGTAAACTATATAAACATAATAATATATACGTTATTTAATGATGAAATTATTTTTTAAACATTTGTATGAAAAGTGTTAATTTCTCGTATATTTTGCTAATTGTTAGTTGCACTTTTTTTTTATAGCATTTTTAAGGCCAAATACAAAATTACTATAATTTGTTCTACGTGTTTTAATGTTATACACATTTTAATCACTAATAATGGTAAGAGGAAGATATTCATTATAATATAACATATACATAATATAACATAATACGAGTACAATCAATTATGTAGTACCTACTTATAATATTATATTAACTATTGTAAACATTTATTTACACAAGTCAATACAAATAATTAAACAAAAATATAATATAATTAATTGATAAGTTATTTTTAAATTAATTCTTTCGCTCAAATCATCAGTCCCTTTATTTTATTTTATTTTATTCTATTTCTATTTTACCAAAACTTATGCTCATTGTAAAAATATATTTACAGATTGTATAATAAAACAAATTAAAAAAAAAAAAAATTGATTCTTTTAATTGATTGATAAAATAATAAAAGTTTGGTGATTGTGTATAGAAAAAATATGTTTAATATGTTATGCATATTATTGTATATTTATGACATTTTGAATTTTCAAGATGTCTTTGTATTTTTATACGATTTCCTATTATATCTTTAAAGTCTGTATGAAAAAACATTTATAGCGTATTACTTGCATAGTTTCAAAATAGTTCGTACACAAACATAGGCGTGCGTAGACTTTGTCCGCAAGGGGGGCCCTTTAAAAAAAGTGAACCAAAGGTTCTTGTACTAAATACTACAAGTATAATTAAATATTTTAAATTTTATAAATTATTTAATTCAATATGAAAATTTAAAAATAAATACCAATTAAACTTATACAATTTATATCTAAAAAATCCTTATTTACATATTATTATATTATTTACAACTCCATCCTTCTGTCCACAGGAGTAAGATTTTTGAATGTATCAATTACATCTTCAATTTTTATATTATATGCAAGTTCTGTTTAGTTTGATTAATAACTAATAACTATTAGATTTATTCACAGATATCAATTCTATACTATAAGATTAAAACTGGCTTTACTTTACTCATGTAAAATGTAAAAATGTTTGCTATCTTGTATAGTACAGATATACATATATTAAAGAAAAAGCCAGAGTCCGCAGGGGGCCGCGGCCCACCCGGCCACCCCCGTGCGCACAAACCACAACTCATGGGGTAAATGAGTCCTGTATAATTGACGAGCTATATGATCGGATGAGGTCGCAATGTTTCCGTGCTCACATGGTTTTACCAACCGAAATTGGAGACGATTGGAGCACGAATGTTGTCTAGTAAAAAAAAAAAAAAACTTGTGAGTACAAATGATTGCAGTAATTACACTTGAAAAATTAAAATAATCACTTGAAGCATAAAGATTAGATTAGATTTTTCTTTTGTTTACAACGCATCTTGATTCAAATAATCCACCTTGTTATTTTAGTGTCACCACGCCGCCAAGTGACGGAGATAATTGTATTAATCTACTATCACAACAACACGCAATCGGTTTCGATTAATCGTCAATGTAAAATAGCGTACCGATTTTGACCAAAATAAAAATTAATATAAGTAAACGTACAGTCGAAATAATTGAAAAAACAAAGTAATACCGTAGTCCGTACGTCATGGTGAAAACTTACCGTGGTCGTGGTCGTGGTTGTCGGTGCGCGCACTTGTCGACGGCGTACAATAGCGTGCGCGTGCGTGCAACCGTCGCCGCCACCGAGGAAAACACGAAACGAGCCCGCGGTCGACTGCCCCCGCTGACCGCCTGCGCGCCGCTGAACCGGTCCCGCTCCATCGTGTTGCATGTGGCGTCGGCGGTGGTGGCGGCGACGGCGGCGGCTGCAACAACAATCGGTCCGTCTCGACAGTCGTTTACTACCCGCCCGGTACTGCGGTCTTCGCGTCTCGTCCGTCGTACACACGCACAAACAGTCCGTTCGTTGCGCGTACACCTGTCCCTCACCGGGGTTCGTCTTTTGTCCGTTTTCGCCGCGCAAATTATTCGCTTTTTATCCTCCACCGGAAGCCATTGTTTCCCGAGAACAACCCTGCGCCGCCGTGTACGTGGACATATTTTGTACTTGTACGTTGAACGAGTGCACGCGGAGAACGACGAAGACGGAAACGCGAACCAGGTAAATACCACGTGAAATAACCGCGTGAAAACGGTTTTAATAGGAAACTTTTAACCCCTTCGAGAACCTGCGGCTCACGCTGCACCGCATCGCGATTTTTTTTTTTTTCAAACGCATGTTCTTTATTTAGCTTAGTTACGTATTTAATCGTTTTATCGTAGTATCCCTTACGATCGGTGACCACATTTCGGTTACGGGTGTCGAATTTCGTGCATACCATGTGGTTTACCTCGTCGGTCAACTGTTCAGAAACAATTATTTTGCGCTACTCGGCACGATGTACGGCGAGTGTTCACTTGCGGGCTTTGTAGCTGTAAGTTTTTTTTTTATAGAATGTGTGCACTTCTGCTGATGTAATGCTCGCGGAACACGGTTAGGCATGTAGACCGCGGTTGTCGTGTCGGGAAATGTCTAAATTTTCATCGTGTTCTATTCGTTCGTAGTTTCAAATTTTCTGTGTACCGTATGGAATTTAAGTAGCATATTATAATAAAAGACATCAATGCATACTTTTGCTGCGAGTACGCGTGTAAGACCGATAACGAAGGTAAGGCGATACCTGAACATTATTATTACTACTATTATTATTATTATTATTATGATCGTGACAACGCGATACCCGTGCGATGGATTCGCGTAGTGTACTATACTTAGATCCGCGTGTAATTTTAAACGCTCGTCCCCGTTTTTTGCAACGATTCATATGTGTTCATATGAACCAACGGGCGACTTGAATGCTGGTTTAAAGGGTACACCGAATACGGCTGGCTCGTCATCGCCGTGATGGGGTTCATCGAACACACCTTCCCTCGGTGAACGGATGGAAATTGTTTAAAAAAAAATACTTTATTTTTAATTATAATGTCTAGAAGCAAAAATTAGAATTAAGCATTGTTGTTTTCGATTTCGTGCTTATTTTGTTATTATTGTCGCAAGCATTAGATTATTATAATTTCGGGCGTAAGAACTCGTGTTTACTTCATTAGTACGGTCATCGTTATTATTTTCCTAAAGGTCTTCGCCGTATTATGACATTGGGTATTTCATATTTAAATTAATCATAAACACTTAAGAACATTATTTAATCATTCCGTTGTACATTTGAACATTATATTTTAACGATCTAATGATAGTCATAAAAATTTCCATGTTGACTTACACTATAAATTATAATATGTGGATGTTAACTATAGACTTATTGTTATTATAATCTGACACTACTATTAAACTAAATCGATTAGATACCTATTAAGACTATTTAGTATAAACAATTAATAATAATTGTTATTTCAAAATATCCGAACGGTCAAAACCATTTTCAGGTAAAAAACTTATTTGATAAGTATCGTAATACAACAAATTAAAAGAGGAATTATTATAATACACGTTTTAGGGTGTCGTTAAATTGTGAAGGTCTTCTTGTAATTTTCTCGAATAATAATTAAATGTATTTGTGCGCCGGCTCATAAATAGTTATATATTATATTTCTGGCGTTACCTAAACAATAAAATCAAGTACGAAATGTTATGAAAAAAAAATAATAGGCTACGAAAACTGGACCAAGATCGTACAGAATGCATTGTTCACATATTGTGCATTGCAACATATATCCAACGGTGATTAAAAATAATATACGGGTGGCATTGTGTTGAAATTTCATATTCGAATCGAATTTAAAAACTATGGAAAATAAAATTTGTTTCGTATAATGGCGACTGTCCAGTTATGCGGATCGTGTACAAATGTACATTAAACCTTGGGCGAATGGGATGCCCCGCCAATTGAATTTTAATGTTTTTATCTCTAGTCATTGGTTATTTGAAAATCCGATGAAGATTACGACTTGGAATCTTTGGTATTACGTTTAATATTAAAATAGTCTTAATAAGTTATTATTTCCTAAACACTTTTTCTGTTGTTAAAAGCTTAAATCTACAAATAATAAAATATCAAAACATTTATATACATAGGTACTCTATTTTTTACTCAAGCACAGTTTTAACATACATTTTTAATTTCGTTCGATATTCTTTGATTTTGTTCAGAGCTTATATTTTAAATTGACCATTAAAAGCTTAAAGATTTTGAAGTATTAATTGAAGAGGGATACATTTAATACGTCAACTTTATGGGGTGAATGTTTTATGTAGATATTTGAAGAGCGAAAAATGATACGACATGTATTTAATAACGATTAAGTTTCGGTAATGTTTATAACGTTCACTCATAAGTTGTTCTTCCTATTTACAGATCAGGAAACACTTTTTATTTTATTCGAGGACAACTATTCACACTTATTACACATCCTCTATTATTTCTGTTCATTATTTTGGGCAAGGGCGAATTAACTTCTACGCGAGTGACTGTTTTTATATTGATTAATTTCTTATATAAGAGCTAACTTAGAAAGTCCATTAAATTATTGTAGCGACCTTAAAAATCAAAGCAGTAAACGAATGTCGTAGAACTATTAATACTACAATTGTATATCATTATTAAAATGTTTGTTTTCATTGTATCGTTAACGATGATATTTAAATTTATTATTGCAATATTGTTTAGTTTAATTTTGTCTATCAATAAGATAATTATATGCAATTATTATAATAATTTATTCGGATTTTTGAATAATTCATAATAATACGCATGTATTAGCGTATGCTGATTAAATCCTGTAATTTAAACCCATCATTATGATAAGAGCAATTCAGCTTATGTGTCTTTTAATAAAAGTTAATAATATCCAATTTTATAATAAAAATCAATAATTTTAAAAATATTAATTATAGACAATAGTCTTTTTTATATATATATATATATATATAATTGATATAATTATTAATATTACATAAATAATGATTAAAATAATTATCTAAGTAAGGGGACCAATATAGATCCGGAATGCATTTCAAAGGATTTTGTTTGAAATTACTGACTTAAGTTGCAGGGTTCAAGAATTCATCGAAGGATCTTTTTCGGCACCTTCCTGTGTTCCTATTATCTATTTCCCGATTTCTTGTCAACTTCCTGTTTAATCAGCAGGAGGCATCACAACAATTATCGAGATCATTCTATTGTTTCATATTTATTTGTGTGTATATAATTTTTTTGTTTATCAATGTTCAGTCCTTCGAATAATAATATTTTACTATTAACTATATACTACGTGATACCATCATCACGTACCGGTGAACCCTGTCGTGCATTACAAACGAACAGAATACATTCCTGCTGGTCGATGTCCACGTGGGGAAACTGATCGATAGGTGTATGCTCATCGTCCGTTGGGTTATAAAAAATAATAAAAACGTTAATACGATAGTGACCTTGTTGTCGAAAAGTATTTTTTTTTTTTTTTAAGTAATTTTTTCTCTAACCACTCGACCATATTATTTAATAGTATTACTATTGGGTACAGAAAACTATGTTATATTACGTATATAGTGCGTGAGTTCTTTGATCTCATGCATATAAAGTTATAAGCAGCATTTAAACCGGTTAACTGGAACTGCACAGCTGCTGCAGTCGGATAATTTAGTAGAAAGTGAAGGGGGTGACCGGTATGTGTCGCCGGGCACACTTGGTATATATTTATACAATTTTCGTTCTAAACACTTGAATAAAAAATTACGCACACACATATTTATATTTTTTACTCTCATACATTTACGCGTGTATACACTAGCTTTCGTAGCTAGTGTGCACTTGATAATTTTACTGGTGGAATTTTTGTGTCGAGTGAATACACCACGTTACCCCGTGTACACTGGTCTAGGACGACACGTGCATCATTTTTCGAGTGCTAGCCCCAATTAGGTACATAATAGCAGTGTTCCCAAGTCTTAAAAACAGTGCTGTCTGCGGCTGTGTACACGAGTGGCCGTTTATATTTTCGTAAAAATTCTTTTGCTCCATTGAAGTCGGTTCTAATGGTTTTAAGTGGACAGACATTACCCGCTGAATCATTAAACACTGTGCCGGCAGAACAGTGGTCGTTTATTGAATTTTAATCCACTGGCGTAGATGACCTACTTGCCACTGGTACAAGTATTTTAGAGTTTTGATGATAAATACGCGTAACATAACACCGATATTTCGTTCAGGTCTTGATTTGACTACAACTGTGTAGGTTTTCGTTATTTTAGTCCGTGAAAATATATATTATTATTGAAGGATTAAAAATTGTTTCGTAGACTGTTTAACAGCTATTCGTATTCGAGTGCCATTCATTATGTTAATTTTTTATTTCCATAGAATATTTTATAGATTTTATGTAGATAATATTCGATTATACTGAGAATATAAATCAAGAAGTTTTACGGTCGTTTAAGCAAACTAGTTATTTACGATATACATACGTAATACTTTCTAATTAATTTAATCTAATAACTAATTTTAATGATAATAATTTTATTGAGAAAGTACTTAAGTACTGTCTTCAACGCATACGCGTTTAATGTATTAAACATTTAAGTAAACAAATATAATATTTGGTTACCTACATATCAATGATTTATCAAGTGTAAAATCTAAATACTACGAACACAGGATATACATTAATTATTGACTAGCACTAATAATTAGTATAAAGTATTTGAAATAACGTTGAAAAATGTTATACAGTTTATTTTTTTTTAAACAAAATAGTTGAAGGTTTTCACAGAATTGTATTTATAGATGCTTATTATAAGGATTTTGAGAATTGAATTATTATTTATAGGATTAAATCAATTAAATTACCTTAACCGTAAACCAAGTCATTATTTGTTCTCATTTTCATTCCTTGTTACTAAAATAAAAAAAAAAAAAAATTATGATCTAATGATATTTATTTGTGTATTATAAATATGTCAACGATTATGCGATGTCAGTCTTGAATAATCTGTAGATCTACGAAAAAAACCGTTTACGCAGAATAAGTAGGTTTTTAATTAACTGTGCATATTCAATTGTTCATCGATCTATGAAACTGGATATCACTGTTGTTGCCGTTAGTTAT